ATATTCTATTTAATATTAATGGAACATCATTATGTTATGAGTGGCGGTGAATAACATAATGGAACAGGTTTCCATTGCTACAATCAATAAGCATTGAAGCTAATTAGTTTGTATCTCTCTCGCGTGCAATGAAAACCCAAGTGCTGAGCCCTCGAATATTCTATCATGCATGAAAATAATAAGATTAAATAATCTAAATAATTATTTTATCTTATTATTATATGACTGTTATCCATTGTAATTGTTGTAAAACTTATGATAGCAAATATTTATTTAAACATCTAAATTCAAAACATCATCAGAAACTTGTAGAATATAGATGGAATAAAGACGATACAATGAAAAAACTTTACAAGGAAAGAAAGACAGAAATGAAAAATAATTTATCTTATTATTTATATGAATAGGAGTTATTCAATTATATTAATATAATAGATGAAGTAGAAAATATAGAACAAGTACTAATAACTGATAATAGATGTAAAAAAATATGTTATTTTATTTTAGAATTAATTAAGTTTTTGATACAATATATTAAAAATATAAATATTAATATAAATGGGAAAAAAGAAAAACAAAAAGAATAAGACAGGTTTAAGTGTTTCATCAACTGATGAAGAAATTGTTAAAGAAACATCAGTTATTGAGGTTGTTTGTCCTACATGTAAAAGAATGTTAGAACTTAAGAATGAATTAGAAATAAAAAATAATAAAAGTTGTAAATGTTCATGTATTCCAACAAGTTTCAAAATAAGTAAAAATGATAAGAAAATGAATATTGATAAAACTAAAGACAGTATCAACTTAGAAACTGATGTCCATAGTATAACTTTTAAATTTGGTAGGCAAGCAACACCAACCGATAATAATGAAAACGAAACTCAGGAAACTGTTAAACAAATCATGAAAAATTAGTATTTAAAGAGTAGATTTAACATAATTGCACTTTATAAATATAAATAATTAAATAAATAATTATCTAAATAAATATATAGTAATGTCTGAAAATGAGAATTATACTATTAATGATTTAATGAAGAAGATAACATTAATTGGTAAAAATATCAAAACCTTAAATGATATGATTAAATCCATTGATGACAAAATGAAACCAGTTGAACGCAATGAAGATAAAGAAAAAATCGAAAAGATATTTCAAGCAAAATCTATAGGAAGACCATCGGGCGACTACCCGACAAAGCAAAAGAAATACTGTGATATGTTGAATACAGGAAAAATCAAACAACCTAAAAGCACCACTTTAGAATTTTACAAAATTTCAAAAAATGATGATGGAGTATATGTATTATTTGAATAATTAATATCTAAATAATTCTAATAAATGAATTTATTAGAATTATTTTCAGGCAGTGGTTCAGTCGGAACCATAGCAAAGTCGCTTGGATTTAATGTGATATCATTAGACTTGAAAAATGCTGATATCAACACTGATATTTTGGAGTGGGATTACAAACAGTTTGACAGAAACCATTTTGATTTTATTTGGAGTAGTCCCCCATGCACTGAATACAGCATAGCAAAAACTCAGGGAATTAGGAATATTGAATATGCAAATAGTATTGTCTTAAAAACTATTGACATTATCAAATATTTCAATCCTAAATATTTTGTAATCGAAAATCCACAAACTGGATTATTAAAACATCAGGAGTTTATGGGTGAGTTTGAATTTAAAGATGTTGATTATTGTAAATATGGAATGCCTTACAGAAAACGCACTAGGCTCTGGAATAACATTACAACTTGGAAACCTAGAGAATTATGTAAAAAGGATTGTGGCAACATCAGGAATAATAAACATATTGAAACAGCGCAGAGACTGTCAAATGGAAACAAGGAAAAATGGGGTGACAATCCAACAATACATAAACAGGAAGACCTATATAAAATACCTAGCGAATTAATTTGTGAAATCTTGGTGAGCGTGGTGAGACACTATGAGGATTAGACACCGTAAAATAGAAGGCGAGCATGTGTTGTTTCGACATTGTTGTTCAGGGGTGGTATGTCGTTTCGACATACTGGGTCATTTGTTTTTCAGGGGTGGTATGTTGTTTCGACATACTGGGTCATTTGCTTTTCAGGGCTGGTATGTTATTTCGACATATGTCGTTTTTCAGGGTGGTATGTTGTTTCGACATATGTTGTTTTTCAGGGGTGGTATGTTGTTTCGACATATGTTGTTTTTCAGGGGTGGTATGTTGTTTCGACATATGTTGTTTTTCAGGGGTGGTATGTTAGTTTAGTCATACTGGTCGTTTGCTCTTTGGAGGTAGCTTGCTGGTTTAATCATACTGGTCGTTTGCTCTTTGGAGGTAGCTTGCTGGTTTAATCATACTGGTCGTTTGCTCTTTGGAGGTAGCTTGCTGGCTTAATCATGCTGGTTGTTTGCTCTTTGGAGGTAGCTTGCTGGTTTAGTCATGCTGGTTGTTTGCTCTTTGGAGGTAGCTTGCTGGTTTAGTCATACTATGATTATCACATGTAAACTATTATATGTTATAATTGTAATATATTTATCGTTTGTAAAGATTGAATTATTATAATTTGCTTATCTCTTTCAAAGTGCGTTGTTTAGACTTGGCATGCTTCTTCAATTTTTTCGTGCTTTGGCTGTTTGTTTTTGTTTTGTTTGATGCTCTTGTGATATTTTTTGTTGGTATGTTGCTTTGTTTTTTGTTGATGTGTGTTTTTGAGTTTGGGTTCTTTGATGATTTAGAGTGTTGCTGTTTTGTTGGTATGCTTGTTTGAATTATTTAATGTTGCATGCTGTGATTAAATATTTTTGTTGCTGGTTGTGATTATTTATTTTGTTTGCTTGTTGTTCTGGATTTTGTTTTCTGTTTGTTGTGTTGCTGTTGGAGAAAAAATAGTAGAAAGAATAATTCTTTGAATTCTCCTTTTACTATTTTTCCCCCCCCTCATGGTTGTCAAGAGTTTATCAAGAGTTTATCAAGAGTTTATCAAGAGTTTATCAAGAGTTTATCAAGAGTTTATCAAGAGTTTATCAAGAGTTTATCAAGAGCTTATCAAGAGTTTATCAAGAGTTTATCAAGAGTTTATCAAGAGTTTATCAAGAGTTCCAAGTTGCTAAGGTGGGTGCTTCATCTGTCTGCTACTGGAGCTTCCTAGCCAAACAGGGTGCCGGGAAAGGAGTTGCACGTTCAGCAGACAACAAACACAGCAGCTCGGGCTGGCTGCTTTTTTTGCATTCAGCGTTGTCGGGCTGTGACGTGGCACTAGAATACCATATTACGAAGATGGTAGTCAGTGGTGAGGTAGGCGCCTGGATGGTAGTTGGTGGCCAGCTGAAGCAGGCGCCGGTTGGCACTGGACAGTCCTAGTACGGCTCACTTCAGCGAATCCGGCATCGCACCGAAGATCATGATGACCCATGGAATGCCGTGCACCGAGGCTCTTGTCCATGCAAAGAGTTGAGCACGGCAAGGAGAATCATAAATGCCAGGATGCCCAAACAAGTTCTTCAGCTAAACGCGACACGGCTGCTTTATAGCTCAGGTACTTATTTGCAAACTCCTGCGCGTTATGAGCAATTTGTATGGCTTGCTCGCGGCCTCTGCCCAAAACAAACTCTGCCATCTTGTTCAAGTCAGAGAGGTCGTGAGCAACAGGGATGTAATGCTCCCAGGCTTTGAGCCGATGACTGTACCACGTTATGTCAGTACTCTGGTGGGGCCCACGGGCAGCCAGCAGCAGCGGCCGCCCGCTGCTGAGCAAGAGCGGGATGCGTCCAGAATATCCAGCAGCAGGCACATCGATGAGGCAAGCCCAACGCTTCACCTGCGTCTTCAGGGAAAGGCGGCCCCCTTTGCTGCCGGCGTTGCTCTTAGGCACGATAACTTTAATCAAGCTCCGGTTTGCTTTGTCGTAGAGTTTTTTCCGGATAGGATTTGTCGCCAGGTTACCGGCCCACCCGCACAAGCTCGTGGTAGGCGGCTTCAGGCTTTGTTGTCTCAATTCGCTTCTCAAGGCTGTGTAATTTGGAAGCAATCCTGCTTCAGGCCAGGCAACAAAAGAAAAGTCCGGGATGAGTCGCGTTTGGCAGTCATCTCTCCGACCTTGCCTCAAAGAATAGGCCCATGACTTGTCGCAGTCTCCCACGTCCCCAAGACTCAACACCTTCTGCCGGAAATCGCCGAGCCTCACAAAACATCTGTTCAGCAAACCCACAGCATCGCGCAGCATTCTGACTTGACTCTCGGCACGGGTTTCATAGCCGGCGCCCGCGACACAAAGAGTAGAGTTGTTGTGAGATACTTGTAACGCTTCCTTGAAGGCGGCGCGGCTCAAGGATGCATTGCACACGTCCTGCGTGACATTCTTGCCACGGAGAAAGGCGAAGAAGCGAATTGGACTGTGAGAGCCTCGGCTCTGCTCCCCTGGAGGCAATTTTGGACAAAACGATTCTTGCACAGCCTTTCTGGGCATACCAGGATATCTTGAGGTGCTGGAGGCGACAGAAAAAGCAGCAAGCCAGAATGCAGCCAGGGCCACACCCCACTGTACCGCGTTTGGCCGACATCCCGATTGCTTTTCTGATTGAGACCGAAAAAGGAAACACATGGTGACTTTACACTAGGGCCTTGAGCCCAATGTGCAGCTGCAGTTCGCCGATGCCACGGTGTCGCAACATCGATGCAAGCGGGTCAAACATGTTATGTCTAGTCGTTGGACGCGTGCAGCCAAACAGCCAAGCTTGCGCCTGCGCCCGCCTTTTACAGCACAGGACTCTCACCAAGGATGCTCTTAGCCGTAAGAAAGCACCGCAACTGGCGCTCCCTGGTTCTCAGAAAAAGAGCGAATCCCAAACTGAACCGGTTTCTAAGGGATCCCTATCGAACCAGCAAGCAAAGGACAGTCATGGGAACCCGAACAACACCCTTTTGAAGCAAGCAAAAGCGCTTCTATTCGGAGGCAAATTGGCAAGTATGGACGCCGTTGCGATCTTTGGGGCCTCTCTCCCCGCCTCCCGGAAGGTCGAGTCTGGCGAAATGGTGGCCAGGAAGTGACGGCACACTTCCTCGTACAAGGCCTCGATTTGGCTCAGAGCAGGCCAGGCTTTGTGGCAGTAGGGTGCGCTTTGGCAAACCTAATCGAATGCAAGGACGACCTCAATATCAACAGAACCCGTACAGCCGACTTGAAGCAACATGCCAATGTTCCTTTTGATTCCAAGAAGACGCCACTTTGCGTTGTCCGTCCAATCTCCAAACTCATCCGCAATGACAAGTTCAAGTTCCCTGAACTTTGGCAAGTACACCACACAAGGGTGGTTTTCTGTTTCGCGGAATTGTTTTCCAGTTTTTTGGTGTATTTGTTTCCAGTTTCTTTCTCTAGACACTTGCACTGCAGATCTTCTCCGCCTTCTTCTGGATCACCCCAGGTCACAACAGCCCCAGATTCAAGAATGGCAGCAAAAGCACCGCCGCTTGATTGGATGCGCTTGACGCTTTTCAGCTGCTCCTGCACCTGGCTGCTGTCTCTGCCCCAGTCTGCCCAACCCCAGGTCACAACAGCCCCAGATTCAAGAATGGCAGCAAAAAGCACCACCGGTAGTTGCTTAGATGCGCTTGAGGTTCTTCAGCTGCTCTTGCACCTGGCTGCTGTCTCCGCCATACTCTGGATCGCCCCACGTGACAACATCCCCAGATTCAAGAATGGCCGCAAAAGCACTGCAAGTTGCTTGGATGCGCTTGACGTTCTGGAGCTGCTCTTGCACCTGGCTGCTGTCTCCGCCATCTTCTGGAACGCCCCAGGTGACAACAGCCCCAGACTCAAGAATGACAGCAAACGCACACTCAGCTGCTTGGATGCACTGGACGTCTCTCAGCTGCTCTTGCACCCAGCTGCTGTCTCCGTCTTCTTCTGGATCAACCCAGGTCACAACAGCCCCAGATGCAAGAATGACAGCAAAAGCACGCTCAGCTGTGTGAATGTGCTGGACATTCCTCTGCTTCTCTTGCACTTTGCAGCTGTCTCCTCCCATGTCTGAACGACCCCAGGTGACAACCTCGCCTCCGTGGACGTGCTAAACGAATGCCTTGTAGGTGGCTGCCAATGTGCCCGGCTGCGCAACCACGTCCACCACATCCCCATCTCGCAACCCGGCGTCTCTCAGCGCGGCTGTCAAGTCGAGCAAGTTGGTCTGTGCAAGTTGCTCTGCGCCAGTTGCTCCGTGCAAGCGCTTTGCGCATGTGCTCTGTGCAAGTTGGTCTGTGCAAGTTGCTCTGCGCAAGTGCTTTGTGCAATTGCTCTGTGCAAGTTGCTCTGCGCAAGTTGCTCTGCGCAAGTGACTCTGCGCAAGTTGCTCTGCGCAAGTGCTGCCGGAGCTGTGGGAATGTACTTCGCATACTATGTTTGTACTTAAAAGTTGCGATTTTCCAGCCGGAGCTGCGGGGGTGTGCTCCGCGTACTACGTTTGTACTTAAAAGTTGCGCGGGAGCACGCTCCGCATACTACGTCTGTACTGAACTTAAAGTTGCGATTTTCAAGGCGGAGCTGCGGGGGTGTGCTCCGCGTACTACGTTTGTACTTAAAAGTTGCGATTTTCCAGCCGGAGCTGCAGGAGCACGCTCCGCGTACTACGTTTGTACTTAAAAGCTGCGATTTTCAAGCCGGAGCTGCCGCGGACCAGGGGGAATCGAACCCGCGACCGCGGGATTGCGAAAGCAGGCGCGCAAACCACGAGACAACTTCCAAAGGCCGTTTCGCGAGCAAGAATATTGCACGGCGCCACAGCGAGAGCGCTGCGACACGCACAATCTCCGCAGAGGGTTCGCCGAGACTAAATTCGCACGGCGCCACAGCGAGAGCGCTTCGACGCGCACGATCTCCGCAGAGGGTCGCGCGCGGACCGCAGAAATCGTAAAAAGTCCTCAGTTTTTGAACCTCGACCACGCGAATCTCCGCAGAGGGTCGCGCACGCATGCTAAAAATCGTAAAAAGTCCTCAGTTTTTTAACCTCGACCACGCGAATCTCCGCAGAGGGTCGCGCGCGCATGCTAAAAATCGTAAAAAGTCCTCAGTTTTTTAACCTCGACCACGCGAATCTCCGCAGAGGGTCGCGCGCGGCCAGCAGAAATCGCAAAAAGTCCTCAGTTTTTGAACCTCGGCCACGCGAATCTCCGCAGAGGGTCGCGCGCGCGCGCAGAAATCGCGAAAAGTCTCAGTTTTTTGACCTCGACCACGCGAATCTCCGCAGAGGGTCGCAATCCCGAGCGACGATCAAACTCCCGCCCCGGCGCCTTAGAAACCTAAACTAACTTACATAGCTGCTAACGCCGAAGCTCTACGCAAGCTCTACCTAACCTTGGCTCTGCCATGTACTTGGCTCTGTGCCACTTGGCTCTATGTAACTTGGCTCTATGTAACTTGGCTCTATGTAACTTGTAACTTGGCTCTATGTAACTTGGCTCTATGTAACTTGGCTCTATGTAACTTGGCTCTATGTAACTTGGCTCTATGTAACTTGGCTCTATGTAACTTGGCTCTATGTAACTTGGCTCTATGTAACTTGGCTCTATGTTGGCTCTATGTAACTTGGCTCTATGTAACTTGGCTCTATGTAACTTGGCTCTATGTAACTTGGCTCTATGTAACTTGGCTCTATGTAACTTGGCTCTATGTAACTTGCTCTATGTAACTTGGCTCTATGTAACTTGGCTCTATGTAACTTGGCTCTATGTAACTTGGCTCTATGTAACTTGGCTCTATGTAACTTGGCTCTATGTAACTTGGCTCTATGTAACTTGGCTCTATGTAACTTGGCTCTATGTAACTTGGCTCTATGTAACTTGGCTCTATGTAACTTGGCTCTATGTAACTTGGCTCTATGTAACTTGGCTCTATGTAACTTGGCTCTATGTAACTTGGCTCTATGTAACTTGGTAACTTCTATGTAACTTGGCTCTATGTAACTTGGCTCTATGTAACTTGGCTCTATGTAACTTGGCTCTATGTAACTTGGCTCTGTGCAACTTGGCTCTGTGCAACTTGGCTCTGTATGTAACTTGTCCAAGGGCTCCGCACGGAAGAACCCTTCGCGATGCTTTCGGGGAACAAATGTTTGCTTGCATGCTTGCTTGCTTGCTTGCTTGCTGTCTTGCTTCCTTGTTTGCTTTTGCTTGCTTGCTTGCTTGCTTGCTTGCTTTTAAAAAAATGTTGGCTTGCATGCTTGCTTGCTTGCTTGCTTGCTGTCTTGCTTCCTTGTTTGCTTGCTCGCTTGCATGCTTGCTTGCTTGCTTTGCTTGCTTGCTTGCCTGTTTGCATGCTTGCTTGCTTGCTTGCTGGCTGGCTTGCTTCCTTGTTTGCTTGCTTGCTTGCATGCTTGCTTGCTTGCTTGCTTTGCTTGCTTGCTTGCCTGTTTGCATGCTTGATTGCTTGCTTGCTGGCTGGCTTGCTTCTGCGTTTGCTTGCTTGCTTGCTTGCTTGCTTGCTTGCGTGCTTGGTTGCCAACTTGCTCCAAATGCTTGCTTGCTGGCTTGCTGGCTTGCTGGCTTGCTTGCTTGCTTCCTTGCTTTGCCTACTTGCTTGCTTGCTTGCTAGCAAGCCCTCGGTTACGGCTAACCCCTTGCTTGCTTCCTTGCTGGTCTAACTAGAAAAAAATACGCCGAAAAACCGGAAAACAATTCCCCAGAAAATAGGGGAGCCCCACACAAGCACCTGAGTCAGTCGCACGATAAACCTGAGGCAGCGGCCCAAGCTGCTTCTGAGCCGCACTGGCTCTGGGTGGCAGCACGGATCTGCCAGCATTTGGCGATGGCTGAACATCCCCAACAAGTTGGAAGCATATAAACGTTCACACCAGATGCTGACGGTACGCCTTTGGCTCAAAGCAGCGTTGCTTGAACCATTGCACCAACAGTCTTGCGCCCAAGCTGAAAAGTATGTTGCACGCCACATCGCGGCGGACGGGTAAGGATGACGGCTGAAGGGGGCTTGTCAGTTGCGATGATAGAGTTTATCCTGCGGCTGGAGTTACCCACTCGTTTGCAACGACTTGTTGACTGACCTGCGACGGTAGCATTTTTGGCCGGTGTGCCCTTGCTGCGGCACCCTGTCTCTTTGTGGCAACGAACAAACAGCCCCGTAGCCTGCGTGGAGAGTGGAAAGCTTTGGGGAAGGGTTTCGCAGCTGGCGAGGGAAGGCTTAGCCTGTCCTGCTCCCCTTGTGACCAATCCTCTTATCATGGCCTGGTATGCCCGTGGCCTGAAAATGACAAGTCGCACATAGTGCCAGCTGCACATCTAATGAGACTTCCTTGAATGGGCATGCGAGGAACATGCCTGTGGGTCGGGCATGGCTCTGCGCTTCCATCCATTGGGCCATGAGCAGACAAGAGCAAGGGCCATATTGTACCAAGAGATGCTGGGATGTGCTTGATGGCTACCGCCTGAACCTCCTCTATTAAGTTTTCGCGGTGGTTCTCAAAAGAGATACAGTAAATGTTCGGGGCTGGACATGTTTGAGAGCAATCTCGAGTCACCACAACACACCAAACTCGCCAAAGCCACCGGCGTAATGGGAGGATGATCCCCCACGTCGTGCCCATCCTGGCGTGCACTCGCAAGGGTACTGCACTTGGCACTCTCCAACCTAAGCTTTCGTCAGCTGAAAATGCCACACTTGCCCAAGCACTTTTGCCCACAAGCCGAGCCTCCCGCGGCTGCGAAAGGCCCTTCGTCAGCAGCTGCTGCGCGAACTGGGAGGCACCAAGCAAAGGCGCGTGTTGTTGGAACATCTGGATGTATGTTTTGAGGGTACAAGTGTTTGGGGTGGCTGCAACAGGAAACCAGGAGGAAACCTCCCGTCTTGGGGGTTCCCACATTTCAAGACAGCACCATTTGGCAGAACCCACCCGGCATTTGCCAGTGCCCATGTGCCTCTACCCAGGGCAGTCCGGGCTGCGCCATGCTTCGAACCTTGGCGGGAATATCGTGGGGTAGCGCAAAGGGAGAAAATTCCAAAAGGAAATTAGTCTTCCACAACGGGCACTGGAGTTCCAAATGGAAATAAGTCTTCCAAAACGGCGCTGTGCACTTTGAATACGGAAAATTGCGGGTGGCAAAATCAGTTTGGGATCTCATAAAGCCGCATCGTTCGAACATAAATCAGCTGGCGCCCAGGCGGTTTCTCGCAGGTCAAAGTTCTCCGGATATTTATCCTCAGCCCAAGGCCCTTTGCATGGCATCCTGGGGCGCTTGCCTCTATAGAATCTGAATGCCATCTGTCTGGCAAAGATGCCGCGCAGCTGTTTTGTTGTTCTTCTCTTTTTCCAGCTCTGTCGCTTTCTCTCTCTCCTCTCTCTCTCTCTCTCTCTCTCTCTCTCTCTCTCCCTTTCTGTCTCTCGCTCTCCTTTTGTCCTCTCTCTATCCCTCTCTTCCGACAGCTGGGATCCTAACAGTCTCTGTACGTGGATAGGAGAGAATCCCTGGCAATGTGGCAAGGTCAGGTAACTAACGCATTGAGGTACCATCACGCTGCCATGGCACCTTTCAGGTACAGCGACTCAGCCACGTGCAGGGCGTCGTCAGGCCCTAAGCCTTGGGTCGATAGGTGTCACGCCAGGCTGGAGGGCCGACGTCAGGTTCCAGACCCAGCACTTCAGAGGCCATTTTCAGCATCTCGACCTGGGCGCAACTGCGAGACTGCCTCCTTGCAACAACACACTCACTCTGGGGCCGGCAGTGTTCAGCGGTCGGGGACGAGCATATGAACTGGACCTCAGGGCTGCAGCATGGCTGTGAAGCTGCCCTCATGAAGCTGAAACCGACTGCATGCGTGAGCTTTGGAGCGTGAGCCATAGGGCCACAACATGTTCCTACGGTATTCCTACGGGGATTTCTTGGGGTGAGGTGGGGCTCCATGGCCATTGCAAACACAGAATAACTGGATTCCATGAGCCCCTTAGGATGGTGTAAAACCTCATTCTTGGAACAAACGACATTTTTTGGACCTGGGTCCTGCAGGGCAACAAAGGCCGTGGCCAGGCGCGCTGCCGAAGCACTTTGGCTTCTGTCGCTGCACGAGCGCGTGCCAGCAAGGCCCGCGCCTGGAGCGGACAGATCTTGTTTAGCCTCCTTTGTGCTTTCATTGTGTTGGCATTGTCAGTCCTCTTTATGTTTTACAACTTGTGCCTGTGCTTCCTCATCTATTACTGGGATGGCCAAAAACGTTTCTTGGCCGAGTGTGTGTCTGTGTGCGATGGTGTACTTCATATCTGGGATTGTGGTTCACGTTTGTTGCTGCAGTTGTGTTATATAAAAACTTGTGAACGAAGGTGCTTGGGCAACGAGAATGCCTCACACCGTCTCTGCCTTTTGACCTCTGTCTGCTGTCTGTGCCTTCCGCCTTCTTTGAGACATCAGCGGCAATGAGAGCAGCTCAGCTCCGCGCCTCCCCCTCGTTCCAGATTTGTCCAGCCTGGTACTGGGCCTGAAAACTGCTATGACCTCACGGCCGGCCATCGGAGGGGTGTCAACCCATGCCCTCCCAAAGTAGTCTACATCCTAATGAAACAGCGTGGGCGCGCTACTAGCAGACTTGTACGCCGGCCCTCAAGCGGAACCTCGAATATGAAAGGAATGTACCCAAAACAAAACAAGGGACTACATGGGTGGTCTGCGTGAATAGCCGGGCATAGCCCTACTTGGCTTCTATGACACCAGTTGATTTTAATTTGGCTCTTCCCTTGAGGCATCAGGAAGAGCCGAGGCTGCGGCCGGCCGGTAGCACAGCTGAAAGCCTCCAGTAGGGCTCTGGCCGGAAGGCCTCAATCTCCACCTTGTGGAAGCAGCGAAAGGACCCCCAAAAGAGGGATCCTATCCGAGATTCCGCTGGAAATGAGGAGAGTGCCCCAAGTTTCAACTAACGATCCCTTCAAGCGCGGACTACCAACAGGGCAAAGCTCTTCCGTTCCGTTCAACCAAAAGTGCATGTGAACTGTCCGTGCTGGTGCTTGAGACACGATTTGGATGCCATCTGAGCCTCGTCTTGGGCAAGGCAAACACATTGGGCATCAGAATGATGGTGCCCCATCAGCCTTGTCGTTCGCCGTTCTTTTTTGCAGAAGGTATGAGAAGCAGGCCACCAAACATTTGGTTTGAATCAAGAAAATGTAACAGTTTATTGTTCTATTTGCTGAAGAAAAAATGCAATGGTGTCATGGTTGAAAGGATAGTTCCTCATAAGCCTGGTGCTGAGGACGTCGGCCCAAAACCGTTGGAAAGAATCGAAAGGGCGGCTATCCACTCCTATTTTGGTTCGGACTGTCGTCTATGAACCTTCGCTTACCTTGGTTTCATAAGCGTTGATTCTCATCAGGATCCAGGCGTGACGGTGCACACAGAACCAAAGCGTGGGGATCTGACACGGGCCGTACCTGTGCCAAAAAGCATGAATCGGAACGGAGACTTTACACTGCGCGCCTTTTCAATGGCATCTTCAAAGGCTTGAGCTTTCCC